TAAATACCTATTACAAAAGCAACAACTGAAATAGATAGGTACTGTTCTATATTAATTTTTCGGTGCTGAATTAAAAAGCCCTCAAAAAACCAGCATCTTCTAAACCCATGATAAGTCAAACTCAAAATTTATACCCGAAGCACCCCGTAACCCCATATTATCATTATCACGGCAGATCCAAACGAAAAATACCCATGAGGCTGAAACTAGCAGCCAAACTTATCAGCGAGAACGTCACAATACCGCATATAAAATATTGATTATTTGAAACGGGAAATATCGTATTATACGTTTAAAAATAATCATGAAATAGTATACGGACCAATGTTTATGCAAATTATGAACTTGTATCACATTTACAACTTATTTTGTGCAACAATAATGTTGACATATTTCTTTAGAAAAAATAGTAATACCTCTCTTCCTACTGCGAATTGGTCCACTAAAAAAGTGTAGAGTTTAGTTAAATTCATCTCTTATTATCCACAAATAAAATTGTAACGGTACATCCCTTATACAGGGTGGGCCACCAGTAACGCCTCGGTCGCTAGTGACCAAACGGCAAATGTTACAGAAACCTGTTTATGTGGGTATGTGTAGGTTGATTACGGGTATATTTTAAAAATATTTCGAAATATACAGGGTGTCCAGGAAAAGCGTACCATATCAAAGTTATGTTTTTTTAAATGGAACACCCTGTATTTTACTGCATTTTTGAAAGCACCGTAAAAAAATAGGTGAACTTTATTAAAGGTTCTGCATACCTAGGACTTACAGTTTGTGAGATATTTCAATTTTAGTGAAAATGCAGGCATAGCGTAGAAATTTAATATTAGCAATAAAAAAATAATTTTAAGGAAGCAGCTTTGGAGGGTCTATTTTAGATCCTTGAAGTTATAAATTGTTATATTTGTCGTCACTTAGTATTATACAGGGTGTTCAAAAAACTGCTGAATACTTCTCTCAACTTTAAACAGCAATAACTTGGTTATTTTAAATGGAACACCCAGTATATTTTTACTTTGGGAGTTGGGAAATTTAAAACTCTTTCAAACTGTGTATAGGTTCCCTATACCTATCTCTAACGGTATTGGAGATATTTGTGCCGTTTCGTTTTTTATCGATTTTTTTTTTAAGATGTATCCACGTGTCTTTATCGAGGTCTTTACTGAATTGGTTTGGGTTCTTCTTGATGACGTCTCTTTAAATATATTGAGAAAAATGAGGATGCAATTAGATGGCGCACCTGCAAATTTTTCATATTCAGTGAGAAATTATTTAAATCGAAAATTTAGTAATAAATGGATAAGTAGGAATGGTGCATGTCAGTGGCCACGTAGGTGTCCAGACCTCACCGTAATGGACTTCTTTGTTGCGAGCTATATAAAAAATCTTGTATACAATGTTCCACCTATTACTTGCGATGATATTGGAGGGAAGGATTAGAGATGCATTTGCGTGAGAATATCATTTGAAGATAGAATAAGATGCTGTATTCAGGAGAATGGTTATCAATTCGAACATCAATTAAAATTTTTCTTTGTTTTTTCTAAAAGTAAAAGTTCCTTTTATCATTATCATGAAAATATTCAAAAAAGTTTTCTAATAAAAAATATTATTTTATAAGCCGAATAATTATAAAAAGTTATTAATTTTGTATAAATATGTTTGTAGTAAGTAACTGAATTATTTATGAACATGAAAAATATTTATTAAAGAAAATTTTACTTTTAGAAGAAACAAAGAAAAATTTTAATAGATGTTCGAATTGATAACCATTCTCTTGAATACAGCATCTTATTCTATCTTCAAATGATATTCTCACATTCCTTAGAATATTTGGGGTGATTGTGGCAAATGCATATCTAATCCTTTCCTTCATATCATCGCAAGTAGTAGGTGGAACACTGTGTACAAGATATATTTTTATACAGCCCGAAACAAAGAAGTCCATTACGAGAGGTTTGGACACCTGTGGTAGCCACTGACATGAACCATTCTTACCTACTCATTTATTACTTAATTATCGATTTATATAATTTCTCACTGAATATGAAAAATGTGCAGGTGTGCCATGTATTTGCATTCACATTTTTCTCCTTATATTTACAGAGACGTCATCAAGAAGAACCCAAACCAATTCAGTAAAGACCTCGATAGAGACACGTGGATACATCTTACAAAAAAAATCGATAAAAAACGAAACGGCACAAATATCTCCAATACCGTTGGAGATAGGTATAGGAAACCTATATACAGTTTGAAAGAGTTTTAAATTTCCTAACTCTCAAAGTAAAAATATACTGGGTGTTCCATTTAAAATAACCAAGTTATTGCTGTTTAAAGTTGAGAGAAGTATTCAGCAGTTTTTTGAACACCCTGTATAATACTAAGTGACGACAAATATAACAATTTATAACTTCAAGGATCTAAAATAGACCCTCCAAAGCTGCTTCCTTAAAATTATTTTTTTATTGCTAATATTAAATTTCTACGCTATGCCTGCATTTTCACTAAAATTGAAATATCTCACAAACTGTAAGTCCTAGGTATGCAGAACCTTTAATAAAGTTCACCTATTTTTTTACGGTGCTTTCAAAAATGCAGTAAAATACAGGGTGTTCCATTTAAAAATACATAACTTTGATATGGTACGCTTTTCCTGGACACCCTATATATTTCAAAATATTTTTAAAATGTAGCCGTAATCAACCTACACATACCCACCTAAACAGGTTTCTGTAACATTTGCCGTTTGGTCACTAGCGACCGAGGCGTTACTGGTGGCCCACCCACCAGTATATTGCAAAAAAAATTGTTCAAATGATGCCCAGACCGTCCGTTTATAAATAAATTGCTGTAGCGAGATTCGTACCATGAATTGAGAGTAGAAAAAATTCTGGAATACCTTGCTAGATGCCCTCTATGATATCTAAGAAGAATTGTGAGGGTACACCTTTTAGTTATTGCAAAAAAAATTTTTATATAGTGTCCAGACAGTTTGTTTATAATTAAATAGCTGTAGCGGGATTCGTACCATGAATTGAAAGCTGAGAAAAATCTGGAATACGTTTTTAGGTGTCCTCTATCTTATCGAACAAAAACTGTGAGGATACACCTTCTAGTTATTGCAAAAAAAAAAAATTTTTATATCGTGCCTAGACCGTATGTTTATAAATAAATTGCTGTAGCGAGATTCGTACCATGAATTGATAGCTGAAAAAAATGTGGAATACGTATTTAGGTGTCCTCTATCTTATCGAACAGAAATTGTGAGGGTACACACACCTATTAGTTATTCCAAAAAAATTGTTTATATCACGCTCAAATCGTCTGTTTATAAATAAATAGTTGTAGCGAGATTCGTACCATGAATTGAAAGCAGAAAAAAATCTGGAATACGTTTTTAGGTGTCCTCTATAATATCGAACAAAAATTGTGAAGGTACACCTTTTAGTTATTGCAAAAAAAAAAAAATTTTTATATCGTGCCATTCTAAAAAAAAAATTATTATGAATGAAGAAACTGAGGGATCAACTTGAAATTCCACGGTTTGTGGAGAATAGAGTTATAAAGTCCCTATTAGAAAGACTGATTTGCAAAGTTTCCAAGGAATGAATTATGAAAAAAAACATAAAAATAAATTTTAAAATTAATAAACTATGAAGGAAGAAAATGAGGGATCAACTTCAAATTCGCACGGTAAGTGTAGAATAGAAGTATAAAGTACCTCCTAAAAGCACATTGACTTGCAAGCTTTCCAAGGGGTGAATTATGACATAAAATATAAAAATAAATTCCAAAATAAATAAATTATGAAGAAAGAAAATAAGGGATCAACTTCAAATTCGCACGGTATTTGTAAAATAGAGGTATAAAGTTCCCTCCAAAAGCACATTGACTTGCAAGCTTTCCAAGGGGTGAATTATGACAAAAAACTTAAAAACAAATTCTAAAATTAATAAATTATGAAGGAAGAAAATGAGGGATCAACGGGTTATTCGAATAACCGGTTTTAGAATATCCGGTTTTAGCAACTATTCGACTAACCGGTTTTATCTGAAATCGGTTTTTACAGAACCCGGTTAACCGGTTTCACTTTTTTCCGGTTTTTGCCAGCAGTAGTACTAAGCTTATCCTCTGAGTTACGTGTTACTAATTTTAAGGGTGGTTAGTATGGGGGATGGCTTCCAACAATGGATTTAGTTGGTAAAATCATTTTATTATATAAATGTACATTTTCTTTCAATGAACGTTAGGAACTTCAGGTACAAGTTTTAACCAGAAACTTCAGTTAATTTTTCTACATTTAGTTACGAAATCCTCTATATCCACCTTTTACAAAATAAACATACCTTTTAATATTCCCCAGTAAGTACCATCTTGTCAGTCAAGAACATAGAAAGAGTAAGAGTAGAGATAAATAAATTGATAGCGAATTTTTTTATTATTTATATCAGGTAGGTACTTTTGCCTACAGAACATGAATATAAATTTAAATTTTCATATTTTATTTTGCTGTAGATAAGAAGTTTTTATTTTTTTTTTAGTTTTCTACAAATTTTGAAAACTTTTTTTAATGCCGAAGTTGATATCATCTGTCATTTGAGAGACAGGAGAAAATGGAAGCAGAAATAGGGAGTGGGCTATATTATGAAGTTACCACTATTGACAAATTTAGCAAAATTTTATTACATTACATTATAGTGATTTAGTTTAGGATTTATATCAAGGACATTTTTCAGATAAAGTAAGAATGGAGAGGCAAGGAAGTTTTAGTAAGTGCTTACTTTTCAAATATGGACAGGTGTCAATCCTAAAACATACTCTTGGCAATTACACTAATGCAGTCGTAATTGCATTTAATGGATTGGGTTTATTAGAAGCTTAAGTCATTTTTGTATTTACTACTCACAGTTTGAAATACACTTGGAAACTAAAATGAGTCATTGAAAAATGTTATAATACAAATGTATGTAGTTCTAAATTAAATATTTTACCTGCTAACACTTCCACTGACTGAAAAAATTCATCGGGATGTATGAATCCTGTTTGTGGGATAAAGACTAGAATAATCCTTAATAGAACTAGAAACCAGTATACTTTAAGATATAAATCAAATTTATTGGCACGCATTTTGGAAAACTTTTTGTAATACAGCTTCTTATTGGCAGTGATGAAGCTTATTTTCTTATCACGTAACTACCCATCCACGAATCTGTCTTGTAAAACAAGGACAAGTGTGTTTCTTGATAACTTCACTGTATGGTAACGTAGAATCGTAAATTTCTACTTCCTATTGCTTTTCAGGATACACTATTACCTATACTTTGTCTATTATTTAACATAATGCACTTTACTTTTATATAACAGAATATTGCAATTATTTTGCTTCAATATTCATTCACTGTATTATTTAGATATTTGTATTTAATTATATGTATAATAATAATAAATCCAAAACCAGCAACTATAACCTCACTCTGGTTTTTTATTTTTACCCATAGATTTACCAGTATACTGGATGAAACCAAAACCGCGCGCGCCATTATTCCATGGCTAGAAATTGGCCTCAATGATTTGGGATCGAGGGGGATTATCCCTCTTTATCCTGCCTCATCTCGTGTAGGCCTGGACAGCCTTCGTAGGTGGGCCCCATCCGTCGTCTACCCCGACCGCAAATGCGGCCGGTGTAGGCGCTTTGTGGGACCTCCTTTTGTCCAGGCTGGGCCCTGCCGGCTAGGGCCCTTTCTTCTGGCGCTCTTCTTGCTTCGCCGGCTCGTCCGTGTAAACCCCGGGGGTGGTGTCATGTTTATGTGTGGTATGGTCATATGAGTAACTAAATAAGAGGCTTTATTTCCTTGTCTTTCATTGGAAGCATCACTTGCTCCAGACGCAACTGGCGCCATCTTACAACCGGTCTGTGAACAAATAGCAGCTGCAACCCAAAACAGAAACCGCGCTAGCCGACTTTGGCTTGAGAATGTAGTTCAAAAACTATGCAATAGATGTCGCTTTATTACGCTGCACTTGGCGGCAAATTTAAATATTATTATTATTATTATTATTATTATGCAACTTATATGAGGGCCCTAGTATCAAAGGCAGCAATCTCCACTTTTTGACGAAATCGAGTTAAATACATGAAATTTTTCGGTTTTTCGCGCTCTGTCTAAATATATGGTTTGCGATTATCAAAAGCGGCTGTATCCCATTACAAAACTGCATTAAAACATCACCTGAGAATCAAATCCGGCAATCTCCATTACCCGCTTAGAATCAGAGAAGGCAATATCCGTTTTGGCCAATCAGATGGCCCACAGCGAACATATGACGTGACGTGACACGACATGCTGTTTCAGATAGTTAGGAATTTATTATTATTTAGTTCGTTTTTTTTTATTTTAGATTATACGTTTTGTTGAATTAATTTTAATATTTTATTCTTTTGTCTGTAAGTCCATTCCAAAATACTTACCTATTTATTTTACAACTCATTTTAGTGCAACCTTTGGTAACAAATCTTGCAAAATCCAACTGTTGGTATCAAACACGGCATTCTCCATTTATTTTTGTACATTTTTTCAGAAAATATAAAAAATTTAGGTACATTAACCTTAAAATCTAATGTAGTTTATCATTTTATTTCATTGGAAACTAAGCTTCCTTTGAATTAAGCAGTAATAAGAGTGTAGCAGTTTTTTGCGCTTTAACAAAAAGTGGAAATGGTGGAGATACCCGCCTTTGATACTAGGGCTCTCATATATGAAACAAAATTCATAATCATTGACTACAAAGTTTTGTAAAAAAAATATCAGTTCTAATGTAAAAATTGACCAATTTTTTTTTTACAAAATTATGTAGTCAATGATTTATGAATTTCATTTCATGTAAGTTACACACAATAATGGTATAAAAGATTGACTTTTTTAGTAGGTTAGTAGTAAGAGGCTATTATTGGTTTCACTTTTTAAGCAATGAAAAATGCATAAGCAGTTGTTTTTTAAATGCATGTACTTAAATCTATTCTGTTATAAATAGGAAAAGAAAAGATAATTACTAGTAATTAAGTGATTATTGTGATACAAAATAGACATATATACTTACCTTTCCCCTCTTTATGAAAAACATTGTTAGATACATTTGTTTCAAACTATATTGGTTCTCATCAGTACGATGTACTACTGATTATTATTTTCTGCGAAAATTTAAATACTGATAGTATGAGTAACAAATATCAGTAGAATCGTAGACATATGTATCTACCATTACTTAAAAACAAACTTAATATTCATTAAAAAAAAAATTAATCAACTTTTTCAGTAAATAAACACCGAAATAAACATACATTTGTCATAAAAATGGAATACGAATGGGATCAATAAATATGCCAAGTAATGCATATTCTGTCATTACTTTAAAATAATATATATTCTTTAAACAAATTAACAAAATATAAACTCTGAAAACCAAAAACAATTAGGAGCGAGTGCTTATAGATAAATAATTGTTTTCATTGTTTAATTAAACTTTGGATTAACAAAGGACTTTCAATTTTCTTTGAATTTACTTCTGCAAGTCTGACTTTTAAAATTATTGTTGATATCATCAAAATGTTTTCGAATTATTAATAGTGAAGACACATCTAATAACTGACTTTTAATCTGATGAAAATGTTTTGAACATGAATACCATGAAAAATCTATTTTAGTTAATACTGTTAACAATTTTGTTCGTAACAAAGTGATGTGACCAAATGAATTTAAGAAATTTATTGTTGTATCATGTATGTTAATAACATAAATTACCAAATTTCGAGTAACATAGTTCAGTCGACGGGTATCATCAAACTCCTTAAACATGGTTAAAATATGTTGTGGTTCTAAATTTTCTGTAAGTAAACAATTTTTACAAGTAATACATTCTGATAAATTAATTTTTTTTATTAAAAATCCACAAACATAAGCAACAGCTTGACTATCAAATTNTTTAATCTGATGAAAATGTTCTGAACATGAATACCATGAAAAATCTATTTTAGTTAATACTGTTAACAATTTTGTTCGTAACAAAGTGATGTGACCAAATGAGTTTAAGAAATTTATTGTTGTATCATGTATGTTAATAACATAAATTACCAAATTTCGAGTAACATAGTTCAGTCGACGGGTATCATCAAACTCCTTAAACATGGTTAAAATATGTTGTGGTTCTAAATTTTCTGTAAGTAAACAATTTTTACAAGTAATACATTCTGATAAATTAATTTTTTTTATTAAAAATCCACAAACATAAGCAACAGCTTGACTATCAAATTTTTCATCGGAAATGTCCGATTCTAAAACTACTGTGATAACAAAATTTTGAAATTCTTCACTTTCATCATTATTATTTATAATATTACTACACTCAGGATCATTTACAAAAAAATACTGAAGGTTTTCTAAAAGTGTTGCCCCGTCTTCTTCACAATTGGAGCCTCTATTTTGGTTACTTACTAAATTATTAACAATACATGTTTTTAAGGCTGAAATAAACTGTGAAGGGGTCGGATTATCATTGAATCCACCGCACTGCCGAACAGAACTGAATAAATTTTCTACAGGGTCTTGATTTAAATATCTCGTTCTTAAATAGGTGAAGCCATGTTTCTCCGAACATTCTTTCCAAATTTTCTGAATACATTGTATTGTAAAAATCCAACCAGATTTAACAGGAAGAATGTTTTTAATTTTATTATTATCAACTGATTGAAATTGCCAAGAATTAATTTTTTTTAACATGTTAGTCCAAAATTTCATATGTGGTGAGTTTTTAGTAATGCAAGATTTTAAAGAACTATTTTTATTCAATTGAATTATCCGTGAATTTAAACTGTCGAAAAGATCGTTTATATCGTTAACAAATTCTGCTGTATGAATAGCCTCAGCAGGTATACCGGTACTGGGATTACTGACCATTGACTCAATCTCATGAGCTACTGATGCACTTAATGTTTGTGCTGCAATTTTAACTTTCATTTTAATGTTACTACGACGGAGATTAAAATGATGGTCATGTAACTTTCGTAAACCCTGGAAGCGTTTCGATTTGTCTATTTTGTAACATTGAACTATATGATTAAATTTAGCTGTTTTATTCTGTGAATATTGTATGTTATATTTATATAAAGCATTTCTTGTATTCTTCAGTAAATGAGGAACATCAAAAATAGGAATAATTTCTTGACCATTAACATTGAAAGAAGATTTATTTGGTGACTCTAAAACTAACTGTCTGATGGCTGATCTATTAGTGGAGCCCTGATCACAAACTGTACAAATTACTGTCAATCCACAAGATCGTAAAGCTGAAATTATTTCAACCAATAAAACTTTTAAATCATGTGTTTTTACCACATCCTTAGTAAAATAATATGAAATAGGTTGCTTCCAGTGCTTACTAATACCTTGCACCAAAAACACTAAAGCGTGATTTGCTACCACATTTTGTCTACCCAGGGATCCAAGATCTACATATCCGATTACTTGGTCTTTAGAAATATCATAACTTAAATTAGCAGACAATGCTATTTCATCGAATACTAAACAACAAACCCGATCTCTTGAATTCATTTTCTATACACGTTCTGATAATTTACATAAAAGTTTTTTATTGATTCCTACTTCTAAAGGTATTTGGCCTAAATATTTTCTTATGGAAGATTTAGAAGGTAGTACAAAAAATTTTTGTAAAAATCGATAGCACCTAGGACCCCGTTTATAAATAGCTAAAGCAAGTGCTTTATTTTCTGAGTTATATATAGGACGTTTCTTTTTGCAGTTAGTAATTTGTGATTCAATAAATTTTACTCCAATAGGATCGAGACGTTGAGATAAATCTGTGAATAACCTTGAATAAGTGATATTACAAACATTGGACAAATTATTTCTACACTTTAATAATTTGGTTTTTAATTTTAAAATCTGATTTTTTTGTTTACGGTCTAAATAATACAACTTTTTATTTTTATCTGAAAGTTGAGACACTCTTTTTACATTGAGAGATTTTAAAAGTGTTTTTTGTTGTCTACTATTCGACTTACAAGTGAAGTTTTGACAAAATTAAGTATTATGTGAAGTACTTACAGAACCAGTATTTGAATCTACTTCATCCGGCATGGCGTCGTCAACAATAACAGTACTAGTACTTGCAATGGTATTTAGAGATGGCAATTTGGAATAAGTGTATTTTGGTTTTTTAAATGGTGGTTCTGAAAAATCATCTAACATCGATGTTTGGCATTTATTAATTTCGGCATTTTCTAATGTTTCACTAACAAACTGTTTAACTGACTCTAGAGTAGTTTTCAAGTAAATGTTACTATTAAGAGAATCTAAATGTGAGGATAAACTATTTGATTCACAAAATATTGTTGGCCTGCACTTTTGTTGAGGCTATTCTTCCTACTATTTCTAAAACATTTTATTCAA